GGTGGGAAACCAGTGGTTTTTAAAAACTTCTTTTTAGTGGCAGCTGCAGGGGAAGCTGATGTCCAGACACTCAACCGTTCACTGTAGTGACGTTGGGCAACTGACTTCAGCACGCTGGCCTTTGGCTACTGATGTGTAAAACGTGGGGGATGGAGGAAGGGACTCTGAGCTCAGCATCAGCGCTGGGGCAGGAATGCATCTGCACTCTACCATGTTGGGAGCTGGACTTCCACACGTGTGTCCCTTCTGTAGCACAGCCAAATTTCACAGCAAGAATATGTCCTCATGGCCAAGATTGGAAACAAAAGCCAAAATGGATAAAACATGAGCCTGGGACTTTCCAGCTGGGGGTGTGGCAGGTGGCGGCGTAGGAAAATTTGGCTCACTGCACGCAAAATAGCACCATATATTAATTAGAGATGATGCTTCTTTCTCTCCCTTCCTCTCTCTCTTGCCCTCTCTCTAAAAAGCCATGAACAAAATGTCCTCGGTCGAGGATTAAAAAAAAACTACCCCCCCCAAAATCCAAAGTTGGAGAGTATGTGATGAAATGGACACTGTTGATGGGTGTCTCTCAACTGGTCCAATATCTGGTTACAATTTGGCAACAGAAAAGGTTTTAAAGACATTCAGTCCCTCCACCCTAGCATTTCCTTTTACTGAGTAGGATTTGGTCCTGAGGAAATATCAGAGGAGTAACATTATGTACAATGCAGTTCATTAGAAGATTTCTTGCATAACATAAAGGCCTAGCAATTACGGACTGTATCACTGTATGATGGAGGACTAAGTAGCCATGAACAAAATCCTATTTTAGTATTTACTGACAATGGGACATGTTAACAAAATGTACACCCTTGACATTAGTAATACTTGGGTGTGCTATTATTTTGCTGTCGACAACTTTCTGATCCCATGAAAAGACATTCTACTTAGGTTGTAGTATATAAGTACAACAGTGATTCCTTCCTTCCTTCCTTCCTTCCTTCCTTCCTTCCTTCCTTCCTTCCTTCCTTCCTTCCTTCCTTCCTTCTTTCCTTCCTTATTATTATTAGAGAGAGAAAGGAATTGGGGAGGGAGGAGAAAGATACAAGGAAAGACAGATGGGGAGAAAGAGAGAGATGAAAGGAAAGACAGACAAAAAGAAAGAGAAACATCAATTTGTTGTTCCATTTATTGCTGTATTCATTGGTTGATTCCTGTATGAGCCCTGATCAGGGATTGACCCACAACCTTGCTGCATTGTGACGACAATCTAACTAACTGAGCTACCTGGACAGGGCTTGTGATTTCTGTCCGAAGGAATGCCATAGTCATTAAGGAGCAATTGAAATGCCCAAGGACCACCTGTAGAGCCACCTTTGAAAAACATGGGCTTTACAATAAAGTACTGAGTTTTCCCAAATTAAATGTGTTGTTTGACTGAGAAATTTGCCTGGTAGGATGGTCTCAAAACAGCACCGCATTGCTCCAGGGCCCCTTTCCTTTACACCCAGACATGGCTGTGCTCACATCGTACTTTATAGAAGTGTTATTTACACATCCTCAAATGTAAAGTCTAGGTCATTTAGTCTTAAAAGTGAAAGAGAAACTGGAGATTAATTATCCTCACTTTTCTCATTTAACTGACGAATTCAAGATCTAGACAGATTAGGTAACTTGCTTAGTTACATGAAAAATATTTAACCTTGAGAATAACGGGAAACATTAAGTTAAAACAAGCCTATGTAATTCTTCACGTTGCTTACAAAAACCCCACCTGAACAAGCAAACAAGCAAGCAGACCCTGCGAGGATGACTGTGAGCACACTTGGGCAACAACAGAGAGAGCTCCTGTGGCATCCTTGCAGACATCCCTCCCCTGCTACCTGGGATGCACTCGGCAGTGATGCCTTGAGAAAAAAAAACAACAGACAACTTCGTAACAGGACTAACTTTATATCGTAAAATAATTTCATGAAGCCTGGCTCAGTGCCAATAGAGCAGATCCTCGTGTGGCCTTTTGGGCACATTTAGAGGGGTCTGGAGTCTCAGTTTCTTTTTCAACCAAGGCCAAAAAGGGCTCTAACTTCACTAGTTAGCATTTTAGGTATTCATAGCTTAGAGCAAACTCCTTTATGAATCATGGTTTTATGCAAAGTGGAGCTCATTATAATGCCATAAATGTTAGTAGAATTCCCCTCAGATCATCTGGGAAGCAGCATTTAATTCTGGACAAATAAAATATATTAAGGTGCTTTCTTACATTCTTCTTTACAATTCAGTATTTTTCAGTGAGTTATTTCATACAGTCCTAATTTCAAATTAGGTGAAATAAATCGATGAGAAAATTTTGGCACGACCCAACTCCATCATAGCTGAAATTAAATAGCCCCAGAAAATCAACAATTTTCCACTTGAGTTAATATAAAACATATAACTTTAATAAGCATTGTGTCTGAGGTGGCTCTTTATGTGAAAATGCTGCCTTGCTTGGTCTCAGGAAAATAGATTGTGTTCTTTTTCCCTGTTCATTTTAAACAATGGTTTTCTTTTCATAAAGGTTAACTGATGTTCTGTATTGCATAACAATAATATTACCTAGTATGTGTTTCAAAGGAGAAACTATGCCTATTTACCCTTTAAATTATGCTCCTAAAGCAAGCGCTTAGTTCTGATGTCTTACAACTTTATTATGGTCTCCCTTTAGGTTTCTTAAAATAAACATTTAGCCCAAGACCACAGCAAAAGAGATGAAAAAAGGGCACTTTTACTTCATCCACAAAGAATCTAAAGTTGATAATTTTCTCAGCTGAGTCCATTAACATATACTGAGCACACATGTGTATGGTGTAGATTCCTTTTGAAAATAGAACTACTGTGAGTTTCCACTCTATGAAGCAAATACTGGGAAGCAAAAGCTCCCTACTCCCCTGGGAGGCAGCTGAGGTTCCAGCCCAGCCTGCAAAGAGGGCATCCAGCTTCCACGTGATTGGCTGAAAGCTGGCCTGGTCCAGGATTGTTCTGGAGTGGGCCCAGAGTCTAGCCCAGTCCTGGACATCAGCTGACTTGGTCTGGGGGGTTCTGCTCAATAGCAAGATGGTCTGGACTATCTTGGACTCTAGAACAGGGGTCCACAAACAATAGTTCTTGGGCCAAAATTGGCTTGCTACCTGTATTGTAAATAAAGATTTATTGAAACCCAGTCAAGCCCATTTCCTTCTTTATACAGAGTCCATGGCTTGTCATGCTACAATGGCAGAATTGAGTAGCCTGTGAAGCCAGAGATATTCACCACCTAGCCCCTGCTCTGTAAGACTCTAGGACGGCTGTTCAGTACTATATCTAGAACCAACCTCGGAGCAAGAAAAATCCATTGGGTCACCCACGTCTATGCCAAGTTTTACGATGTTCATATGTCTCAGGAGGGTACATTTTGGGGGGCTGTAACTTTGGAGGCTTAATCGGGGAGGTACTTTATCATGAGCTCCTGTTGTGTAGCACTGGACCCCACACAGGCCCTTGTCAGAGGGGCCACTTTCCCTTGGTTTTCTGCACTGCTGTCTGGCATCTGCACGCTCACACACACCTGGGGCTGCAAAGCCTCTGCCATCAGTGCTGGTTGAGAGGCCTGCTCAGAGCAGCATTAGCATGGAGGCTTGGCTAATCTTGCTCTAGAAATTTTCTGTGGATTGAACAGGTTTATGACATAGAAAAGTGTGAAATCGAAGTGGGGGGAGAATACTGGCCAGGTTGGCAGTGGAACAGAAACGGGAGTGGGTGCTCTTGGTGGCTGTTAATGAGAATGAAGATGAGAAGGTGATTCTGAGACCCTCACTTCCTAAGGACTGAAGCATGGTCTGGCTCCCCCAGGCGCCAGGAGCTCCAGTATAAATGGGGAGAGAGGCAGGGCAGTGATGCCAGGAGATGGAATGTTATGGCCATTACAGGAGGCTGTACACTTCTGGAAGGCAGAGAGCTCCAATGTTTCAATTCTACAGGGGAATGAGTTCTGGGAGGAATTGCCCTGTACATTTATTTGTCACTCAGTAGGAAGGTGACATCAGTGGATTATCAAAAGTGAGGGTGCACCATGACATACCATGTCTACGGGCACCTGCCCTCCCACCGTGGTAACTAAAAGGACTGTCATGGGCTTGGTGCTGGGCTGGAAGGTGGATGGCAGAGGCCGTCATTGGACCGTCCTCAGGTTGATTCTAGTCAGCAGCCGTCTTGACTGGCCCATGAGTTTCTGATATGTTTATACATCGATTGCTTACATTTATGATTGGAAATGTTCTCTTGAAGGCCCGGATTTCTTTTGAAAGTTCAAAACCTTTGGCCACACTGGGCTGTGTCTCTGCTTATTGGCAATGGCCTAGAGAGGAGGAAGGGCTTCTCTGCAGAGAGGAGTTTGTTGTACACCTGGTCTGCTTCAGGCACGGCTGCATCGGGCCGGCCTGGGGCTTTCGGTCTGCAGCTTCTGCTCTGCGTGCTGCACAGGGAGGTCACGCTCCTGAAACCTTACACTCCTCGAGGGTCATTCTGTTGCTCCTTGGTCCCTTGCTAAGAGTTCCTAGTTCACTTTATTTTATGTGATCGAATCATACTCCATTCTGACAAAACTGCTGAATGGACTAGACAGCCCCCTTTGGGAAAGATGCCTGGATGCTGGTCTATAAGCCTGTAGAGCCATTTATTACCTTGGCATGAACAAATGCAAAGAGTGAATGGGTTTAGTGTGGAAGGGTGGTCCCACAGTGGCTAAAACCTAGCCTTCGACAGTGAATTATCACATCCTCCCCCTCACATCAGTGGTGGTGACAAATCTCCCAGTTTCTGAATCCAAGAGCTTATTTGGAGGGATGTATTCCCAAGATGCGTTTGCAGTGAATAACACTTGTTGGTTTGGAAATTATTGTTGCAAAGACTCTCAGGTTGGCCTTCTGGACACCTTACATTTCTCTTTTAGTGAACCAGAATGGAGACACACACACAGAACATATAAAAAGTACAGGTACCTGTCATACTGTTGGGAGTCATAGGTTAGCAGTCATCCTGGACCCCTTCTGTCACTGCCATCTCCTACAGAGAAAAAGACAAGAAAGAAACACCACAGGTTATAACCTGCATTTTCCACCAAACAATGCCACATGCATTAATCAGCAATTTGAGAGTCCTGAGTCAGAACTGCAGAAGTTGAGGCGTAGGGGCCATAGGATGGGTGTAAGTCTACGAGATCTCAGGGTTCCTTCTAGAAACAGATTTTTTAAAATAATGTTTTATTCAAGATCACATGTCTGTGTGCAAGTTTTAGAGAAAGCTACCAGCCACTGACTTGGCGTTTTCCCCGGGAGTCACTGTGATGCCTGTATTTGCATCTTCAATCTGGATCCTTGCCTCGCCTGGGAGCGTGTTAGAAATTCCGGTCCCATCTCAAACCTACTCCACCAGCCCTGCATTTGGAAAGGGTGCCCAGGTGACTGCTGGGCGCTTTACTCTTAGACATACTGCTCTAGACAACGGAAATCTGTATTCTCATCGTCCCACTCGTGACTTTCTGTCCCACTCGTGCCAAATGCCTTCCCCTCCCCACTACATTGCCGAGATGTGAGAGCAACAGGCAGACTTGGCCTCGGACTGGGGGTGGAGGCGCAGAGGGCATCAGTGACCAGAGGTGTCCCACCCGATGCAGGGAAACAGGTTGAAGAACGTGCACCGGTGGATGAACCAGATGGCTGATGAACACGGGTCACAGTCCTCCGGGATATGACTGGGGGTAGATCAGAATTAGATTTCCTTTTTCTGGAAGGGGCTTCTGCGTTCAGTGGCAGATAGTGGCGGCTGGATGCTTAGGAAGAGTACTGAAGCCCCAGGGCAGGGGTTTGAGCTTTGGTGCTGTCACATACTAGCTGTGGCATCATGACAAGCCATTTCAAAGCCCCAGAATCTCCAATTATTTGTGTGAGAAAGGGGGAAAATAATACTCACTCTACTTACTTCACAAGGCTGAAGTTTCTGAGGTTTAAAGACAATGTGTGTGAAAGCGCTGGGAAAACCATAACACACTCTGCACACGGAACCTTGGGATGAGGAAGAAGCACTGACCTAACGGGTTGGAGCAGAGGAAGTATATGCACGATGTTTACAATTGGGATCTGTGTATGGCTGTTCATTCTATCTCCGTATTTCCTATTGCAGTGCTGAGTCCATACCTGGGTCATAGTTCTCATCACACTTGTGGTCATTACATGTTTACATGGCCGCCTTTCACTAGACTGTGGTCTCTGTGGCAGGGACTGTCTTTGTTATTTTAGTGTCTCCTCCATTAAGTAGAATGAATGTCTGATACATGATAGGCTCTAGACAAACACATGCAGAATAACTGAACAAAATAAAATCATCGAACGAGGATATGGGATGGTGTGAGCAACCTGAACTGGCACCTGGTGCAAGAGATGAATACTAACCACTGGGAAAATGCATTCCTGCTGCTGATTTCAGGGGTCACCAGCCACGAGCTCTCTGCTCTGTCCTCACTCATCTGTTCAGTTACGTTTGAGTGAGAGGCTCCGCCACACCCAGAGGTAAGGGCTCAGATTGTACTTACATTACTGAGTGCTCAGACTCTTGCCCTTCTTAGAAACTCAGCTGCCATTGATCTCCCCCTCCCACTCCATGGCAATGGCCATGTTTTCCTATGACATTGCTCCCAAATGTTCTGGAGAAGAAGAGAACTTGGCTCAAGCTGGGCCAGCCCAGTGCTCACAGTGCTGACCTTTGGCCCAACTGGATGTTTGGAGAGAGGAAAAAGAGAGAAGGGAGGGAGAAGAAGAGAGGGAGAGGAAAAATTATTTCGTCTTATGCCTCTCTCAGCCACATGGACAACACCTGTGTGAAGGCAAGAAAGGGGGTGGATTTGACATTCGCAGGGAACCCAGCTTTCGGTTCTCCCTCAGGCCCGGCTGTGTCCCTCTCACTTCTCCGGGGGTTTGGCTCCCCGACTCCTCCTGAGCAAAACAGCCTCCATTTTTACCTCCGCTGGCTCCACTCCGGTGCCTGCCACTTGGAACCACTTGGAACCAAACAAATACTGACTGATACACCGACATTAAAACACAACATGAATACAAGTGTGTCAGAACAGTCTTGTGTCTTTTTGGCACTACGAAGGTAGAGTGACAAAGTTCTAGTTATGTTCTTGCTGTACCATGAATCGAGTGTCTTTGTCTACAGCATCTCAATGAAATAGGCATATGAGCTATAGAAAGGAAGTACGTGTGAGGCAGAAAGAATCCAGGGACAGGAAAAAATCTTGTTGAGGCCCTAAAAAACATCATCACCACACAATTTAGTTTCCATTTGCCTATTTACTATTGTTATCTTTGCCTTATCATACTAGGAAATACTATTTACTACTCTAATACTTCAGCATCACTGTATTCTTACCATTACTATACCATTAATTGTATACTAGTATTACTTTCACTCTACTATTATTAACTTTAGTGTAAAATGAATAGTGTATCACTACTACTATAGTACTTTAGTATTTAGTAGTATTTAGTGCTATTTTCCCTCAATGAGCTCTAGAGTTTTCAAATGTGATTCCAGGAAAGCTTCTAACAGTCCCCCAGAGCAGGCAGGTGTCCAGGGTCTCCTGTCCTGCTGGTCCCACAATACTGGGCATGGCATCAGCAGGGTGCTCTGGGCTGAGCAGTGGAAGCAGAGAAGGTCCTTTCCAGAGCCATGGCTGGGGCCTGGGGCTCACCTGGTGCTCATGGGGTCAAAGGAGAGAACAAAATCTGAAGAGCTTAGTTCTAAAGAAGGTGGAGCTCTTGCATTTGCCAGGAAGGGCAACGAACACAGATTCACTGAGTAGGACAGTGAGGAGGAAGGGTTGGTGGGGATGCATTAGAAGGGGGAGAGGGGACAACGCTAATGAGAGATTGATAATGAACTCTCTGCCCAGGAAGGGTGAACCATGGGTCTGCAGGTGATTCATTAGAATTGGTGGGGAAGTCTTCAGCTGGATCCAATGAGGGTCTGGGTAGCAGGCCCTTCAGAGTTGATGGCCCTTTAACAGATTCAGCATTTTGGTACCCATGACACTGAGGAGGGGAATGACACTCAATTTCGTCTCCTATGCAAGAGCTCCCGAAATGGAGAATATCCCTTTCACATGAGTCATTCATTTGTTGGCCTTGCGAGGCCTTTGCTGTGAGGCCTTGATTGAGGGCCTATCTGTTCAGCCACTGCCCTTGGTTTTGTCCAAAGACAGCACTCCAGCCTGTCCACCAGGGGCTTCCAGTGTAATAGAAGGAGAGAATCACAATAAAAAAATGCCGAAAGGTATATAGGCTCCCCCTTACGTGTCTCATCAGAGCAGACTGGGGCACAAAGGAGGGAGAGGTCATTTCTCCCTGGGGCTGCCTGGAAAGGCTTCTCCACAGAGGCGACTCTGGACCAGAAGGTTTTTCTTCTCAGCAGGCCTCTCCCTGGGCCATGATTTAATGTTTCATTCTCACCCCCACGCTCCTGAGGTACGTGGGCTACTGCTGCCAGAGTGAGCCTTGTCTAGAAGGACTGGGAAACTCCTTTAAGTGGCGTGCCTTTTAAGCAAGGGGGCAATGTGATCCAATTTAAGTTTTTAAAGCTTCGCAGTGGCTGCTGAGTGAAAGCAGACCAGTCTGGGGGCCGCGGCAGGTCTGGGGGAGAGGTGACGGTGGCTAGAACTCCCGAGGTGGCAGTGGAGGTGCTGGGATTCGAGTGACATTTAGGAGGTAGAAATACTAAGACAGTGATGAATGTGATAGGAACATTTAATACTGGAATAAACACCAGGGATGCAAATAGGTTAAGACCACAGGCTCTCAGGCCTCAAGGGATTTACAATCCATTTTACAAGCTGCCTGAAAAGGCAGAACCTATTGGCAAGGAACAGTTAGAAATACAAGCTACAGAGGCGTGGGCCAAGGGGGCGGGCGGTGCTGAGAAACATCAGGGCTGAGCCGTCCTCTGGGATGAGAGGTGTGGCTCACGAGACACATAAGAGCAAAAAGGACAGCAGCTTGGCAGAGGATATATGATTTGGGGTGGGGAGGGGGCAGGAAGTGGCCAAGAACGAAGCTGCAAATGTTGTTTGGGGCCAGATAGTGAAGGTTCTTGAAAGGTTTGCTATGAAGTTGGACTTGTCCTGTGGGAAATGGGGAGCCATGGAAGGTCCTTAAGGGCAATGCCTCTGTTTGAGAAAGATCACCTTGCCACAGTGTGGGGGAGGACCTCTCAGGCAGCTTACCCTCTGGGGGCACCCCTATGTGGGACCATTGCTGTTTTCCTGCCTGCATGTTCAAGGCCACAAAGCTAGATAGACCAGAGCCAGAGAGGGTACCCCTCGCCCCATCTGGTAAAGCCGCGGTGCACCGCTGACTGCATACCCCCGTCTCCAGCTGCACGCCCGTGGTCCCCTCGTGTTTCTCTTTTCCCAATAGAAACTACGGCGTTGGAGGGACAACCACAAACATCGCCCCTTGAAAATTTTTCCGTATGGACCTAGTGAGTCATTGTTTGTACCATCTGTACATACTAATTAAAATGAAACACTGCACCTCCCCACCCTCCGCATGTCTACGTGCATTTTTCTGAAGAAGGCGTTTGTGGTCTTCTCAAGGTCACCTTCCGTAGTTTGCTTTCCCGTGGCTCTCTCAGCAGAAAGGGGACCAGAGCATCATGCAGCCCGATGAGTTGGCTCAGTGAGATAGGCAGGGTCTACCCGTGAACACTCCTGCAGCTGCTTCAGGGGCGGCCCGAGGACCAGGAGGCAGGGTCAGACTCCTCTGCAGGGAGCAGTGGGGAACCAGGGTCCCCCTTAAGAGACAGCAGCAAGTGACTACCGAATGACAAAGCTATCATTTGCATTTCAGATTTTCAGCAGTCACTGTAAGTGTGTTGCCTTGAGGGAGTGAGATGATACAAGGAGGCTCTGTGGCTAAAGTTGAGCTTAATTTGCTGCAGCTGATTATTTTGTTCTTGGCAAAATGATTCATCTTTACTTCCACCTCAGCCATACCTTTTAATTCAAGCTC